TTACATCTCAAAGCCCTAGAAAAAGTAGGACAAATCAACACCCAAAGTGGTAGAAGAAAGGAAATAATTAAATAGGAGCTGAAATCAATAAAATTGAAGCAAAAGACACAATTAAAAAAATTGACAAAATAAAAAGTTGGTTCTTTGGAAAAAATAAATAAAATTGATAAACCCTTAGCTACACTAATGAAGAGACAGAGAGAGAAAACACAAATTTCTAAAATTCATGATGAAAAAGGAAATATCACAAGGGACACTACTGAAACACAGAAGATAAATTGAAAATTTATATTCCAATAGAAAATCTTGAAGACATCAACAAATTTCTAGAGACATATGCTCTACCCAAACTGAATCAAGAGGACATACACAATTTGAACAGATCAATTTCAAGCAATGAAATAGAACACCATCAAAAACCTACCAAACAAGAAAAGCCCAGGACCAGACAGATTCTCATCTGAGTTCTACAAGACCTTCAAAGAATAATTAACACGATACTCCTCAGATTATTTCATGAAATAGAACAGGAGGGAACTCTTACAAACTCATTCTATAAAGCTAGTATCACCCCGATACCAAAATCAGATAAAGACACATCAAGGAAAAAAAACTTCATACCAATATCCCTGATGAACATAGATGCAAAAATTCTCAAAAAATTCTGGCAAATTGCATACAAAAACATATTAAAAAGATAGTGCACTATGATCAAGTGGGGTTCATCTCAGGGATGCAAGGCTGGTTTAACATATGGAAATCAATAAACATAATACTTCAAATCAATAGACTTAAAGACAAGAATTGTGATTATCTCAATAGATGCAGAAAAAGCATTTGAGAAAATACAGTACTAGAAACACTAGAAAAACTAGTGATAGTAGGAACATACCTCAATATTGTAAAAGCATTCTATGCTAAGCTCAAGGCCAACATAATTTTAAATGGAGAAAAATTGAATACATTCCCTCTAAAAACTGGAACAAGACAGGGATGCCCTCTTTCACCACTTCTATTCAACATAGTTCTTGAAACTCTAGCCAGAGGAATCAGACAGATGAAATAAATTAAAGGGATACAAATAGGAAAAAAGAACTCAAACTATCACTATTTGCCAATAACGTGGTTCTATATTTAGAAGATCCAAAAAATTCTACCAGAAAACTTCTAGAACTAGTAAATGAATTCAGTAAAGTAGCAGGATATAAAATCAACACCCGTAAACCAAATGCATTTCTATACCATAAGTGATGAAGCCACTGCAAGAGAAATTAGGAAAACTATTCCATTTAATGTAGCCTCAAAAAACAAACAAAAAAAAATATTTGGGAATCAGATTAACAAAAGAGGTAAAAGACCTTTACAATGAAAACTATAGAACACCAAAGGAAAAAAAAATTAAATAAGACCTTAGAAGACCTATCCCTTGCTCTTGGATAGGCAGATTCAATATAGTCAAAATGGCCAAAACTGTTATACAGATTTTTTTTTAAATTTTAATATTTATTTTTTAGTTTTTGGCGGACACAACATCTTTGTTTGTATGTGGTGCTGAGGATCGAACCTGGGCCGCACGCATGCCAGGCGAGTGCACTAACGCTTGAGCCACATCCCCAGCCCCTGTTATACAGATTTAATGCAAATCCTATTAAAGTCCCAATGACATTTTTCACAGAATTAGAAAAAGCCATTGTGAAATTTATTTGGAAAAATAAGAGACCCAGAATAGCCAAAACAATCCTTAGCAAGAAAAATGAAGCAGGAGGCATCACAATACCAGAACTTAAACTATACTACAGAGCTATAGTAACAAAAATGGCATGGTATTGGCATCAAAATAGACATGTAGACCAATGGTACAAAAATAGAAGACACAGAGACAAACCCACATAAATATGGTTATCTCATACTAGGCAAAGGTGCTGAAAACATACATTGGAGAAAAGACAGCCTATTAAAAAAATAGTGCTGGGAAAACTGGAAATTCATATGTAGCAAAATGAAACTAAACCTCTATCTTTCACCCTGCACAAAAATCAACTTAAAGTGGATCAAAGACTTAGGCACAAGAACAGAGATCCTGAGCCTAACAGAAAAAAAAGTAGGCCCAAATCTTCATCATGTCAGTTTAGGACCTGACTTCCTTAACAAGACTCCTGAAGTGCAAGAAGTAAAATTAAGAATCAATAAATGGAGTGCACTCGAATTAAAGAGTTTCTTCTCAGCTAAGGAAACAATCAATAACGTAAAGATAGAGCCTACAGAATGGGAAAAAAGAACTCAAAAACCTTAACATCAAACAAACAAATAAAGCCAATCAATAAATAGGATAAGAAACTGAACAGACACTTCACAGAAGAAGAAATACAATGAATCAACAAACATATGAAAAAATATTCATGGGGGAAAAGGTACAGTCATTCATTGCTGGTGAGACTGAAAATTGATGCAACCACTATGGAAATCAGTATGGAGATTCCTCAGAAAACTTGGAATGGAGCCACCATTTGACCCAGCTATCCCAATCCTCAGTTTATATCCAAAGGATGTAAAATCAGAATACTATAGTGACACAGCCACATCAATGTTTATAGTGGCTCAATTCACAATAGCTAAACTATGGAACCAACCTAGGTATCCTTCAACAGGTGAATGGATAAAGAAAATCTGGTACATATACACAATGGAATATTACTCAGCCCTAAAGAAGAATGAAATTATGGCATTTGCAGGAAAATGGATTAAACTAGAGAATATCATGCCACATGAAATAAGCCAATCCTAAAAAACCAAAGGCTGAATGTCTTCTCTGATAAGTGGATCCTGATCCATAGTGGGTGGGGGGGTAAGGAAAAATGAAGGAACTTTGGATTATGCAGAGGGGATTGAGGGAGGGGAGAGGCTATAGGATGGGAAAGATGGTAGAATGAGACAGACATTATTACCCTGTATACATGTATGATTACACTACTGGTGTGACTCTGCATCATGTACAGCCAGAGGAATGAGCTGTTATGTTCCATCTGTATACAATGTTTCAAAATGTATTCTTCTGTCATGTAAAACTAATTAGAACAAATTAAAAAACAAAAATAAAAAATAAAAAGGATTATCAATATGTTTATTCAAATCTATCATGTTAGCATTTGTTTCTAAGATACAGGGTCTTGCAGGCTGGCCCCCAATACCAGGGCTTCAAGTGATTCTCAACCTCTTGAGTAGTTGGAACTACAGGCTGCCAGGCCAACAAGCCCACCTGTTTTTATCTCTTCAGCCCCAGAGGAAATAATTATTGTTGGTGAACTTTCCAGGTTGGGATGTTCTCTTCTAGTGACATGGAAACAAAAGAGCGATAGTGGAATTCATTCATCTCTTTTAAGATTTTCTAACAAGCACACTGACTGCTATTGGTTTTTTTTTTTTTTTTTTTTTTTATTTTCAAAAGAGATTTTCTATTTTTTAAATAGTACAAAAATAAACTGTTGTTTGTCTCAAGACATGTTTTACATAAGTTAATTTACATTTGTCTAAGGCACTGAAACATTCACAACCTTAATTTTCAGGTATAGTCAGCAGGTTGTTTGTAACAATCAAGTTGGTTTGTCCCTCCCCCCCAAAAAAACCCACAAAAAACCCCCAGAAGTTAGCAGTTTATAAGCTTTTCGAAGATGACTATCTTCAAAATGTTAAGCATAAAAAATCCCAAAGAAAATTTTCCTGAGTTATTCCTTTAATAACATTTCTTTCTTTCCTGAGACACATTTTTTTCAGTTATTTACAAATATTGATGCTGTCTGTAATTGGTGCTTGATTTCAAAATACTAAAACCATTGTTCTTTGCACAGAACATTTTTAATAAATAATTGATTGAATGAAGCAGCCACAGGTCCAAATATATAAAAGACCTATCTCTATGGCATATCCCAGTCAATGAGGCAATGTTGTCCGTGCTCTGGTGCATATGGAAATCAAAAGTCGAAATTCTAATCTTAAATATTTTAACATCTCAGAATTAGGTTCCTGAAAATTTATTCACAAATCTTACTTAATCCCAATCATTTACATATTTCAGAGAGGTAATCACAATATATTGATTCTGACATAATAAAAAAAAAATCTATAACAATAACATCCTAATTAAACATAAATAATAATCCTCAATAAATATACAGTACCATAAAATGTCAGCTGACAATGAGATGTGGAAATCATTATTATTAATCATTATTATTCTTACTATTAATGCTCAACTACTTACTAGTTTTTTGGACATTCATTAGTACAGAAAAGTAACTTGTCTTCCTGTGGAGAATGCCTTACAATTCTGAGGTTCTAGCCTCTTTGTAGGTTCTTGATTATAGATGGTTAAAGTTAAATAAAATTTTCTGCTGTTCACTTAAGTAAATATATTTTTAAAAACAAGGCTCTTTTCTTTTATTCCTACTAAGAGGAGCTAAGTAGTAGTCCTGAGCTGAGGTTTTCCTGAAATGTGCAAAAGTTCAAGACAATATTAGAGTTCAAAGATAGAAGAGCTCTTAAAACGAGGAAAACAAAAATAGAAGAAAAACTGATTTTAACAAAGTAGCTACCAGGAAAAAAAAAATCTAAGGAGCAGCAATGCAGGGCTGGTTTTGATTCAAATGTCCAAGGCTTATTGAGATTTGTGTGAAATGGATTTAAACGTTTTGAAGAGGATTTTGATGGGGCTAATACATTTTGTACTGTGATAGCAACTGCTAAATCACATTGTACAAAAGAAAATCTAAGAAAATAGATCATTGTTCAAGTCTAGCTTGGAACTTCATTTAACTCAAAGCAAAATCTGTTGAGTACCATCCTGCAGTATAAGGATAGAATAAATTCTGCTTCAAAAGTTTAAATCCAAATTAGAATTTGAATTTACTTTTCTTCCTTTTTATTGGTTATTAAATTTAATCAATTTATTTGTTGTTACTGGTGATTGAACCCAGGGATACTCAACCACTGAGTGACACTGATTTTAACAAAGTAGCTACCAGGAAAAAAATCCCTTTTTATCTTTTGTGACACAAGTCTCACTAAATTGCTGTTTCACCTAGATCCTTCTGCCTCACCCTCCCAAGTCCTAAATTCAGCATGTTATTGTTCATAAAAACAAATTCTAAAATCTTTAAGATGGAACTGGACTCTAAAAGAATCAAGGGTCTATGGAAACCAACTTAATAAATAGTATTTTGATTTAAAATGAAGTTGTAACAGTCACATTATAAATAAATTTGCACTCACTAGTGAAAACCCCCAAATTTGATATTTTGATTTAAAAGGCGGTTGTAACAGTCATGTTGGATTTTTTCTCCTAGTGAAAAAGCAAAAATCTCTAATATTTTAACCAGTAATTATAATTTCTACTGGTTTTGGAGATTTAAATCTGATTGCTTCTTTTATTGATATGAGTAAAGAGTTTGACAACTTTAGCAAATGAGCTGTTAAAATTGATTCTACCCATGGATTTAGATTCAAATTATTATTTCAAGGCTGCTTTAAAAAGACATGAAATTACTGGTAGTGTCTGCTTTAGACATTCATTTAAATATCTTGTACCCTTGTTTGATGACAGATTAATACCCAAGTCCTTTAAAATTCCAACCCTAGTTGCCCTATTGCAGCATAAAAGGCAGATTAAAAATAATGGCAGTGTAGAAACTGCAGCATTTCCATCTTGTAAGTATTTGAATGTTCAAATACCTTGGCATTTGTTCTTATTAAAACATACTATACACTGAAATTCAAGTAAAAACATGTCAAAAGTCACTTCCCATTGTTTTCTAAAGAAAAGAATGAACTGTTTTTCCCCCTTAAGTGGAAGAAAATGATCTTTAAAAGTAGTGACAATAATTTCCACAAGTGTGACCCCTTCCTCTCTAATAAGAGTACTGCCGCCTTCTGTTACAGAAGATGGAAAGTAACATAAGGCGTTTAATATAAATATTAAATAATTAAGTTAAAAGGTGTGGTCCATAAATAAATAAATATGATCAATAGACTTCTACAGTTCTGTTGCACGCCCTTTCAGTAGTACTGTGGGATTGATGTCTTCTAGTCTGGAGTGAGAAGCACTTGCATTGATGGTGACTGTCTTGGTGAGCAGTGGATCCTGAACACTGAATGAGACCAAGGGACAGCCCTTCACGTTACGGCAGATGAGGGACTGAATTGAGGCAGTGTTAATGATCTTAAAGCCCACTTCTCCTCCAAAAGTGCTTGGCTTCCAATAGTGAGGAGAACATATAGGATTACCCAAAAGTCCTTTCAAGGAGAATGGTGCTCCAATTTCCACCATGGTCTCACCAAAGATGGCGTCAGGACGAGGCTTTTCCACCAGGAGGGCAGGATAGAACTCCATGGCATCAATGTCACCATAGAGGGCTTCCAACTCTGAGGCCATTTCCTTTTCTCCTGTAAGTTCTTCAAATGATTTGTAAGGCTTCAGGTTAAAGCGTTTGCGGTACTCATTGAAAGACTGGTATTTCATATTTCTGCTGTGGTCAATTGAGGCCTTGGCCACTGTTTGTACTGCAGATGGCACATTCCTGCCTCCAGAAACCCTGCCAGCAATTTGTCTGGTGAATGACTCAACGAACTGGGTAAGTCCATGTTCCAGTAATATGGAGTTGTTGTAGAGAAACTGTTGATAGTTGTACTCCTGGTCATGAATTTGAAAGGTGTCAGGCAGAAGGGGATGCCAGTGATAAAGTGTGTTAAACTCAGAAGCAATACGGTTTTGGTACTGGAATTGTTGGTTGAAAAGCAGCTCTGGGTCAAACTTGAGTTTGAAGTGATACCCGCTCAAGTGCTGGACGTAGTCTTCAATCACAATTTTAATGGTCTCCCCTATTAATATTAGTCTGCTCGTCTGGAACAACCGCTCATCATCCCACTCTGGATGTTCCTGTTTAAGCACATCGCACACTCTGTTATGTTCCCGTAGCCAGATTGTGGCATACATCATCAGACCAGGCACAAGACCAAAGACCTCCTGCCCCACAGCAAACCGAAGGTGTTCAGGGATGTGAGGGGGGTAGATCATCTCCACCTGAGTGTCTTTGACTGTGGGAGGATACACCTCTCCACCAATCACCTGATATTTCAGTTTTCCATCCTTGAAGAGGCGCAGCTTATGTTGTCTATCCAGAGTTTCACCATAAACATGACTTAGGTCCACCCCGTGGCCCAGTCCTGTGGTGAAAGCTGGCCCTCGATTCCTATCTGACTTAAAAAATTGATGGGTGAAATGCTGAGCAAAGAATGCAAACATCATATTGGTGCCTTGGGGGTCAGGAATGAACTTTCTTCTTAGAAGAACTTTTTCAAACACCTCTTTAGAATCAGGAAGCTCCTTCTTCCCTTTCACACCCATGGGCGTTGGGCAGTCATCTGCCACAGGAGGAAGGGCTCTGGTATAGTAGGAGAGGTTAGAGAAGGCTTCCCAGTTTTTGTAGCCATAGTGCACATTGTAAGTTGGTGGACTGTCAATTAAATGTGATCTGGAAGTCAACACATATCTCATGATTGAATTTCGCAGGAAGGGAATATTATTGACAATGTTCCAGACCCCCTTGAAGTGGGTAAGTATGTAGTGGACTGTGTTTGGAGTGGGCTTCAGAAGTCGTTTTATTCTGGTCAAAAGTTCAGGTGTTGAACAATTTTCACCGTAGAATCCTGTTCTGGTACAGTCACACTTATACTGGTCAAATCCTGTGCTCATACATACACCTTGGTTTTGACATGGGTTGGAACAGCAAGGATTTGCTGCGTGGCTGATGGCCAAGGCGGCGCTGAGCAGCAGAGCGGCCCGGAGCATCGTGGCCGAGGGCGGGGCGGTGCGCGGCGGGCGGAGCTTGGCTGTCTGGTCGGCTGTCGTCCGGAGGTGGCCCTGCGGGAGGCGCCGCTGCGGAGTTCCCGGGAGTGCTGACGCTCACTGCTCAAGTCGTTTGACAACTCTGCTATTGGTTTTTTAAAAATATTTTTTCGGTAAAGGGAAGATGGCGGCGAGGGGAGTGCATTGCCCCCGTGTGCTGCTTCACTGTGTGGGAGTATGACAAGTCAGGACGGCTAAAGGCTATCTTGTTAGGAATTTCCAGCAATAGTGGGGTGCTCCGGAACCTGGAGGAAGGATTTCCATCGCACGAGGATCGGCTACGGGGACTCAAACGCGAGAGGTTTGTCGCACGGAGGGTAACACTGCTTATTCAGCAAATCGCCCCGCGGCTAGAGTCTGCAGCGCGCGCTGGGATAGAGATGCGGGGTTACAGCACTGCAGTTTCTGCCAGCCGCGCAAGCACCGTACTCAGGGCTGAATTCTGGGTTTGAGATGGGGGAAGGAAGTGGTCCATCTCGGTTCTCCACACCGGTCAGACCACAGAGGAGGCCAGCAGCCACCATGTTGGAAAGCTGACGTCACCATCCCTGTTTTCGACTGACCGCAGCTCATCAGCCATAGAACAGGTAATTTCAGGCTGCCATTTGCCTGCAGCTTGCAGACAGATTGCTAGGGTTCAGTGCCTGGGTGCTTCTTAGAACCTGATCTTATCGGAGCGAACACCGAGCGCGGGGTGGCCGAGTTCCGGCTCCCGGAACCGCCCTGGCCCAGGGCTGGGGAGCCTGCGGAGGCTGCTTCTTGGACCCTGCTCCTATCAGAGCATACACCAAGCACTAAGTGGCCGAATTCTGGCTCCCGGAACTGAGCCCGCGGGGACTGCTTCTTGGAGCCTACTCTTATCGGAGCTTACACCGAGCACGGAGCGGCCGAGTTCCGGCTCCCGGAACTGCCCTGGCCCAGGGCTAGGAGCCCACGGAAACTGCTTCTCGGTCCGGGTCCTGCTGAGGGCCGGTCAGGACTCACCCGTTGCTTTGGTTGCCCGGCAAGGGGAACGAAATGCCGCCATTCGCATAGGATACCAACATGGCAGAGATCTGATGTCATCAGAAAGCGGCAGAGGAGAGAACTTCATCAATACCAGCGGCGACAGAAACAGTTGGTCTCCTGGTAGGGGGCGTGAGGCACAGACACCCGAGTCTCCTCAATTTGTTGTCGAGCCAGAGGGGAGGAGCCGGGCCGCCGCCAGCGCCCGGAGCAGGCCCAGCGGCTTGCCAGCGTGGTGACCGAGTGACCCCAATTGGAGAGGGGGCGGAGCGGAGCCGCCACCCGCACCCGCAAGGTGGGCAGACCCGAGACCCAGTGGTACATGGGTGTGGTAGGAGGGGCAGGGCAGAGCCGCCACCCGCACTTGCAAGGTAAACAGACCTGTCACAGACTGGCGGGTCAGGCCCAGTGGCCTGCCAGTGTGGTACACACGTCACCCCAACTGGAGTAGGGGCAGAGCAGATCCTTCTCCCACGCCTGGATCAGGCTCTGCTGGTGTGGTGGCCACGTGACCCCAATTGGAGTGGGGGCGGTGCGGAACCACCACCTGTGCCCGCAGGGTGAGTAGACCTGTGACCAACCTGCAGATCAGGCCCAGGGGTCCGCAGGCGTGGTAGGAGGGGCAGGGCAGATCCGCCGCCCGCGCCTCCAAGGTAGGCAGACCTGCGACAGACCGGCGGATCAGGCCCAGGAGCCTGCCGGCGTGGTACACACACCACCCTAAATGGAGTAGGGGCAGAGCAGAGTCGCCGCCCGTGCCAGGAACAGGCCCAGCGACCTGCAGGCGGGGTAGTCACGACACCCCAATTGGAGTAGGGGCAGAGCAGAGCCGCCACCCATGCCCGAAAGGTGGGCAGATCTGCGACCGACCAGCGGGACAGGCCCAGTGGCCTGCCGGTACGACAGACACGTCACCCCATTTGGAGTAGGGGCAGAGTAGAGCCGCCACCCGCGCCTGCAGGGTAGGCAAACCTGCAACCGACCGGCGGATCAGGCCCGGTGGCCTGCCGGCATGGTACACTCGTCACCCCAATTGGAGTAGGGGCAGAACAGAGCCGCCGCCAGCGCCCAGAACAGGCCCAGTGACCTGCCAGCGTGGTAGCCACGACACCCCAATTGGAATAAGGAGAGAGCAGAGCCGCCGCCTGCGCCTGCAGGAAAGATATGCAAGCAGTATGAAAAGACAAGGAAAGAAAGGACCACAAGCAATGCAGGTCAACGCAACTTTAGAAGAGGTAACAGCTGCAGCAGATGGAATGTCAGATAAAGAATTCAGGATATACATACTTCAGATGATATGGAGTATCAAGGAAGACATTAAACAGCAAAATCAGACAATGAAAGATCACTTCGACAAGGAATTACGCAAACAAATCCAGGAAGCAAAAGATCAACTATACAGGGAGATAGAGGTTATAAAAAACAAACAAACAGAAATCCTAGAAATGCAGGAAGCAATAAACCAACTTAAAAACTCAATGGAGAATACTACCAGCAGAGTAGAACACTTAGAAGATAGAACATCAGACAATGAAGACAAAGTATTTCAACTGGAAAAGAACATAGACAGCTCAGCAAGACTGTTAAGGAACCATGAGCAGAACATCCAAGAAATATGGGATAACATTAAGAGACCAAACTTAAGAGTCATTGGGATACAGGAAGGTACAGAGCTCCAAACCAAAGGAATGAGCAGTCTATTCAATGAAATAATACGAGAAAACTTCCCAGACTTGAAGAATGAGACAGAATCCCAAATCCTAGAAGCGTAAAGGACGCCGAATGTGCAAAATCATAAGAGATCCACACCTAGACACATTATAATGAAGATGCCCAACATACAGAATAAGGAGAGAATTTTAAAAGCTACAAGAGAAAGGAAGCAGATTACATTTAGGGGTAAGCCAATCAGGATAACAGCTGATCTTTCAACACAGACTCTGAAAGCTAGAAGATCCTGGAATAACATATTTCAAACACTGAAAGAAAATGGGTTCCAACCAAGAATTGTGTATCCAGCGAAATTAAGCTTCAGGATGGAAGATGAAATTAAAACCTTCCACGATAAACAAAAGTTAAAAGAATTTGCAGCTAGAAAACCATCTCTTCAAAACATCCTTGGCAAAACATTACAGGAAGAGGAAATGGAAAATAACAATGAAAACCAACAGTGGGAGGTAGGACAGTAAAGGGGGGGAAAATAATCAAAGAGGAAAACAAACCATGTTTAGTAACAGAAATAAACAAATATGGCTGGAAGAACAACCCATATCTCAATAATAACCCTAAATGTTAATGGCTTAAACTCACCAATTAAGAGACACCGGCTAGTAGAATGGATCACAAAACAAGACCCGACAATATGCTGCCTACAGGAGACACATTTGATAGGAAAAGACATACATAGGCTGAAGGTGAAAGGTTGGGAAAAATCATATCACTCATATGGACTTCGGAAACAAGCAGGAGTGTCCATACTCATATCAAATAAAATAGATTTCAAGCCAAAGTTAATCAAAAGGGATAAAGAGGGACACTACATACTGCTTAAGGGAACCATACACCAACAAGACATAACAATCATAAATATTTATGCCCCAAACAATGGTGCAGCTATGTTCGTCAAGCAAACTCTTCTCAAGTTCAAGAGTCTAATAGACCACCATACCATAATCATGGGAGACTTCAACACACCTCTCTCGCCACTGGACAGATCTTCCAAACAAAAGCTGAATAAGGAAACTATAGAACTAAATAACACAATTAATAACCTAGACTTAATTGACATATATAGAGTATACCACCCAACATCAAGCAGTTACACTTTTTTCTCAGCAGCACATGGATCCTTCTCAAAAATAGATCATATATTATGTCACAGGGCAACTCTTAGACAATATAAAGGAGTAGAGATAATACCATGCATCTTATCTGATCATAATGGAATGAAACTGAAAATCAATGATAAAAGAAGGAAGGAAAAAGCATACATCACTTGGAGAATGAACAATAGGTTACTGAATGATCAATGGGTTATAGAAGACATCAAGAAGGAAATTAAAAAATTCTTAGAGATAAATGAAAACACAGACACAACATATTGGAATCTATGGGACACATTGAAAGCAGTTCTAAGAGGAAAATTCATTGCTTGGAGTTCATTCCTTAAAAAAAGAAAAAACCAACAAATAAATGATCTCATACTTCATCTCAAAATCCTTGAAGAAGAAGAGCAAAACAACAGCAAAAGAAGTAGAAGGCAAGAAGTAATTAAAATCAGAGCTGAAATTAATGAAATCGAAACAAAAGAAACAATTGAAAAAATTGACAAAACTGAAAGTTGGTTCTTTGAAAAAATAAACAAAATTGACAGACCCTTAGCTATGCTAGCGAAGAGAAGAAGAGAGAGAACTCAAATTACTAGCATACGGGATGAAAAAGGCAATATCAAAACAGACACTTCAGAAATACAGAACATAATCAAAAACTATTTTGAATCCTTATACTCCAATAAATTAGAAGATAGTGAAGGCATAGATAAATTTCTTAAGTCATATGGTCTGCCCAGATTGAGTCAGGAGGATATAGAAAACCTAAACAGACCAATATCAATTGAGGAAATAGAAGAAACCATCAAAAGACTACCAACTAAGAAAAGCCCAGGACCGGATGGGTATACAGCAGAATTTTACAAAACCTTTAAAGAAGAACTAATACCAATACTTTTCAAGCTACTTCAGGAAATAGAAAAAGAGGGAGAACTTCCAAATTCATTCTACGAGGCCAACATCACCCTGATACCTAAACCAGACAAAGACACTTCAAAGAAAGAAAACTACAGACCAATATCTCTAATGAACCTAGATGCAAAAATCCTCAATAAAATTCTGGCGAATCGGATACAAAAACATATCAAAAAAATTGTGCACCATGATCAAGTAGGATTCATCCCTGGGATGCAAGGCTGGTTCAATATACGGAAATCAATAAATGTTATTCACCACATCAATAGACTTAAAAATAAGAACCATATGATCATCTCGATAGATGCGGAAAAAGCATT